GATTATGATCTTCACATCGATCTGAGAGCACATATTCCTGATTTCTAACAGATTACCCCTTAGTCCTCTTACGTTGCTATAGAGGCGCTTAGTAGTGTGTCTCAGCATCTGGTACACCTCTGCGACAACAGCCGTTGGTGGATTTTCAAACAAGTTGATCAACCTTAGTTGGCCAGTTTTGTGGGACCTGGCCTGTGCAGGTGTTTTGTCTGTGCGGTGAGTTTAATCGGCGAGGCTATTATCTTTGTGTCTTGAGTCAGGGGTTTTTGATCGAGATCAACTGTCAATTTTGTGGGTTCATTGTGGCCTCTCTGCTGTTGTCCCACAGATCCAGGTAGGCTTTCGCAACACCAAGCTGAGTCATTGTTCGGCTATAAATATGAGTATTTTCTGTTTTGCCCCTCGCCCCATTCTCTTTATTTCTCTTCTTCAGCTCCTTATTCCAATCCTTAAATTTTAATCTGGATATTTACTGAAGACTTGGTTAATTTACCCAGGAGCCTGTAAATTTATGATACAAAGAATACGAAGCAGATCTTAGCACATGTACCTTCTCAATTCTTGTTATCTGCAGATCTGGCTCTATCTTGCATTGTTTCGCAGTCATTAGCAGTTCGTCATAACGCAACCGTTGTAACACACTGGACATTACAGAGTCTGGAAAATTATGCGAAAATTTTAGCCATCTAAATGGCGCCAATGTATCTTGTGAAATATTTCAGTAACATTTTGATCTTGCCTGTAAAGTAGCATGCCTCTTGTAGCAGGTTGTTATTTGCGAATAAATTATTAGTGAAGAGCCTCAGTCATGTCGTCTCAGTTCCTGAATCTCACAGACATCAGATGTGGTGACCTAATGGGCGTCACATGTAACAGGCGGGGGAGCCTAGAACTACAAACAGCCATTTTAGTCTGGAGGCCTAGGCTAAGTGATAGCTATTGCCACTGTTGCACATCGTGCACGTGAGCCTCGTACAAGCTACCGCCAGCGGGTTTGGGTACCCCGTAAATTACCACGTTGGTCTGATCTTGGATACCCGGTATTGTCCTGGCTGCCGCTCGTACCGAGCATGGTTAATCGTGCCTGATGAGAATCGGGGAGGACAATTTAACTGATGATCTGTGGGATGGGAGGAGAATATCTTCGGCAAGTCGTGCCGAGTCAAGAGTTACCCTCATTGAAGGGGGTTTCCCTTTTGAAACATTCCGGCCTTTGACAAGGCGGAATATTTTTGCTGAAGTGTCGCACATTCCGAGGATTGTGAACAAATTATCCCACTGTTCTTTGTCAAAGGCAGCCGTATATTCTAGTAAGCTACTTTCCGACATTGTGACATTGAATAAAATAAGTGAATTTATTCTATCACCCCTGTCCTTGAGTAGTAGCCGCTTGTGAGTTGTGGTGCTACCATTCCCCTTCTTCTTATTCACGCACTGTTCTGTATTGGTAACAGATATTTAACAAAACTATATGCCTGCATCATTCATAGGAACAGATACCCATCAAGCCTGCAGAAAATACAGAAATCTGGACTAGCATTATAGCTAATATGGAGTTGGTATTTTCGTCTTGGAGATTACTTATTGCGGAAACCTAAATGTAATCTAGTGTTTTAAAGTATGTGCTCTTCGCTGATAGTACTGCTTCAGTCGCAACTGTGAGAGCATCTAACGGTTAGATCTGGGTGTTGACGAGTTTATACTAAACATTACATACTACTACCTCGAAATGTGAAAATACTACTTTGATATCTTTGACATTGCCCCTATATATGTTTACATATATATTTACATGCCATAAGCCAGAAGACACTTTGTATTAAGCCTTTTTTCAGGTCGTGTTCAGCAGAGGAATTGAACAGGTGGTTGTGTTTTCAGCATTATAAATACAATACTATCATCGTACAACCATGATCTAACTTTTCAAGAACATTTTTAGCAAGTCATTGATAAAGTCAGTGGCAAAAGTCAATCGCTAGACGGTCTGAGAACAAGTGACACCTATCTTACAGGACAACGGACAGAACAACAAGTCTTTCAATTGATGCATCTCAAAGTTCTTTAATTGATTTGTGTTGCCCGTTTGATAGTAGAAAGCATGATGGGCAGGTTCTCTTTATAGAATGTATAGTAGTAATTAAAAGTCGAAAACTACACTTAAATAGTCATCCAAGATAATATCGATTTGGAAAGTTTTCAGGAGTTTTATTAGTTGAAGGGACAAAACTATTCATTGACAACACATCTGGGGATCCCAGTCCGTATTTGATATGCTCCTTCCATCTCTTCGATGACTAGATCAGAGTTCTGAAATGAGCTAATTTCTTAGATACCAGTATCGTCTAACGTGTAATTAAACTGATGTGTTTACGTCCGTTATCCGAGTATAAATTTTGTAGAAGTTTCGTGTTAGTTTTTTAAGGTTCTCCAGTACCAAATCTTTTGGATTTCAAGAACATTAATCACTATTTTGAGATGAACGGGAAATATCGATCCTAATACTACTGGTCATATGAATACCTGTCTAAATAAATCACGAGGTTGGGTAAATCATTTGAGCCTTGTAACACGATTAGTTTAGTTTCTTCGCTATAACTTCCTGATTATGCCGATTTTCGTCGAGTCCTTAACACCTTCCAAATTTTTGTCGGAACAGAATCTGAACAACTTGTAAGGCTAACTAAATCCTAGCAGCAAATTTTCCTGTAAGTCTTTATAATTGATGCTGACCTCATTCCTGACTTCTGGTTTCAGTGTGCTTTGGCTAATATCGAACTGAGGTGTTACTGACAAAGCGTTGTCTAACTCGGAACATCTGTGACATCCCGAAGTTATTTTATGACCACCAGAAGTTGAGTTTAGCGAGCTCGATGTATCACTCTCATTATTCTTCTTCATTAGCACTAACTTTGACAAGGGTTTCAAATTTCTTAGGAATCTCTAAAAAAATTCTTGCTTTAAAGCTTTTTCTTAAGAATCATACACAAAATAGTAAAGCTATAACGAATTATACGCATATATATAAGAGGCTCTGAACATGCTCGAAGGGTTTGAAATGTTGATGAAAGGAAGAATTAAGGTTGTCAAAATAAAATCACTCCGGAGCACTAGAAATTATCACTTCAGTCGATATATGAGCATACACGTGTCGTTACTCCAGTCGACTGCTTGGGATGAATGCCTAAGGATGTCTAGGATAGCTTATGGCATTAAAAGATAGAATAATTAAACAGAAAACAAATATGGCACAGTATAAATTTATGTCCGAGACTTCAAAGTACATCTTTCACTACTTTAGTTCATTAAAACAAACGAGGCAAACCGCTTTGTCCAGCACCTGTTGAACTCTTTAATTTGGAGTGTGTCGGTTTCATTCATAATCAGAATTAACGTATCTGTAGTCACCCAAAAACCCATATAATCAAATCGAATACTTTCAAAAACCCAAATTCAAAGTTTCGGATTCTGGAAGTTTATTCAGTAAGGTCACATTGAGTGAAGTTGTTTTGAGTGCAGAACAATACAGGGACGATTGATTACTAACGCATATTCAGCAACCCATACTATGGTAAGTCTCAATGAATGCATTTATGTGTGTGCCGTTACATGTTTAGTTAGTCTAGAAAGATAGTAAGTTTACAGAAAGTCCTAGTAATCCATTTCTGTTCATGACCGTGCGCTGGTATCAGTCCGACTTTTACGCGCCCTTCTCGAAATCTTCGCTTGTAGTAGGTAGTTGGTGGGAATTCTAACTAACTTAGAATGAAACAGCCAGAAAACGAGGAGCACAGTGTTTATCTAGTGAGGATGTTCGTTTTAACTTTGAAGAGCGTTCGTTTTTTCCCAAATTTACTGCAATCATTCATACATAACCCCTGCGACTCTGGCGAACTGTACAACCTCCGCTTTTCCAGTTTTAGGAAGAATTTGTGATCTGATGGTCTAGAAACATTTTGGAATGAGGTTTTAACAGGTTGACAGTGTTTCCCCTGTAAGCTTGACCACATTTTGGCCAATAGACCTTATCTGCAGCTACCTATCCTGTCTTTACATAAGTAAATGTTTTGAACCACAATTTACAAGGTCTAGGCAGTCGATCATTTTTAAAATTTAATGCTGTTTTTTGCATGGGTTGAATGTCATCCGTCGACTTGTTATGCACCTCAGTATTTTTCCGGCAATCGATGTTCGTAATGGCATTATACGGCTGGCGCAGGGAATGGTTTGTATTGTTTTTGGTATTTTCATTCGGCGATTCGCTACACTGTTCACTTTAAAGGTCCTGCTTTTACATCATGTTTACATATCCGTGTAATTAATTTAATATCTTTCTCAGTCGCATTTAGCGCAGAACCTGTCTAGAAGTTGGGAACCATAGGGATAGACAGTATGATTCAACGAAAAAGAATAACATGGTATAAAATATCTAGTCTAATTGAAAAACGTAGATTTTTAGGGAAGACAAAGATTTAATTCAGCTGCTTTACAACGAACGATTGTGACCCATGTCGCTCGACGTCTCTGACCATCGGTCACGACAACAAACGAGTAGACTGCACTAACATTTCTGACGCCAACAGTCAGCGTCTACATGGACTGATGTCATGTTTGGATTTGGCCGCCCACAGCTTTCTTCCGGCCTACTCCTACACCACAGAACATCACACACCGAGATCGTATCCAATACATTTCACAAGTACCTAATTTGATTAGAGCTCACTACCTCACCAAGTGATCCGCTAACTCTAGTTAGTGTTTTGGGTCTAATCTCAGCATTACTCACTCATTGGTCTCAATAAACACGAGAAGTGCTCCGAATGGGTCCTCTACCCTCGTAGACCATGTTTCTAATTGATATCCATAAGATAACTGCAGTATCACTAACACTCAAGCATTAATTCTGTTTCCTGCACGAAATTTGTAAAATAATCTAAGAAATCCGTTTTCCCTTTATTTCTTTCTCTTTACCTTCATTATATTTGTAGTTCTCACTATTTCCGGTAAGATCATCCACGCTCTGTTGTTCTACCCGCTCGTTAGTGTCTCTTTATTCTGAAATTCAATAGAGACCAATGCATATTTGCACCAGGTTTCATAGTATTTGTATCTATTTATATTGTTGATCGCAACTGGTAGTTGCAGTCTGAGAAATTAGTCTTCGAATCCTGAAATGGTAGTTATGCAGTCTAAATTCACGTTTGATGTGATCAGAATTCGAGGTATAAATAATTTAGCCAGGTCAGTGTACTACAACTACAGCTTTATCTTTAATTATAACGTACAAATAGTTTTTGTTAATTTGAAAATTCTTCTCCATCTTATAACATCGAAATATCTGAGATCAGAAAACTGATGCGTGAATTAAGTTGTTCATGAAAGCATTTTGTGTGATATTTCTTTGGAAATACTGAATTGCGAGGTCTTAAACTGATTAGACCTAAATTTTATGATTGTATGTCTCTAAAGCTTCAATTTTTGTTACATTTCTTCTTATAAACTGTCCTATTAACTTCATGTTTTTAGGTCGACAGCATCATAGACAGACGAGTTCGTCGTGGTCGTGTAGAGTACCGTGTTAGGTGGAAAGGTTTTCCTCCGGAGCAAGATTCCTGGGAACCTTTCACCAGTCTTCGCGAACCATGCCTTCCATTAATTCAAGATTTTCACATTCGTTACCGCAAGCTTCATCATGGAAAAAGGCGTTATTCTCTACCTTTGGTTTCTTATAGTAAACTTTCAAGATGCGAAGCAGATGAATTTCATGATATGTCTGTAAAACTGGAAAAAGATAGTGATGACGACTTAGCTGCAGACAAGAGTAGTATCTCGTCTACCAAAAGTCAACCACCTCCTCGTCCTTTCAAGGTTGGTAAGAGAAATACTGTACGACCAACGTCACGTCGTTCTGCTCCAAGCTCAGTAGCTTTAAGTTCAGCTAGTTCCTCTTCGTTACAGCCAGAAACTTATTCCAGCCACTCGTCGTCTCTTCCGAGTTCTAAGTCCAGTGTTTCCCAGACGTCATTAGTTTGCGATCCAAGTGCGTTGTTGAACACTCAAACACTCAACCATTCAGATCACACGATGCACTCAGAAAATGGGTGGGTCCCCTGTGAAGTTTCTGGTGCTTCCACTGGTTCACTATCTAGTCCCACTATAATTGAGGCTGGAGATGACTGTAAAGTTGCCAGGGATAAAGCTTCCGTTTCCGGACTCCCTAAAGATAACTGCAGGGATACTGCACAAGGATTACGAAAAACATCAAGATCACTTGCTGACCAGTCAAACCGTAATACTCTCAAGTCTGTCAGGCGCAAATCGTATTCTAATAATCGGGCTTCCCAGCAAGATGATTCTTTACCTACAAATCAGCAAGGCTCTCAAAATTTCGTGAAAAGAGATAAAAATGTGGACAATTTCCCTACCTCTGATACCAAGGAGAATTCTCCTCTCGGGCAAATACGTAAATCTGTTACGATTATGCTAAAGGCTTCTCCCACACATGAGTTTCAGAGCACTAGGTCTCTCCACCGCAGTAATTCACCAAACTCCAAACTTCCCCCTAATGCTGTTTCTAAACCGGTTTCCAAAAAGCGTGTCCACCCTACTAGCGTGATTTCAAAGGCGGAACTAGATGTTGGTGCCTCAGAATCCCAACCAGTATGTGAAGATCAATCCCCTATAGCTGATTCTATCATATCAAAAGTCATGAATGTCGTTGTTCACCTTAAAAACCTAAGAAGACGCCCTGTACAAGAGATCGTTCTGGCACTTTGCCAAAAGCACCATAATATTCCCGAAAGTCTTGTTTTATCTTCTCTAGATATCTTAGTTACACGAGGCCACTTGCACCGTGTTGAGTCAGCCAAAGGTATATCTTATCGTTCCAACCCTTTTGTTGTGGCCCGGGGAGACTTAAAGAAACCTGCTAGCCTATCAGCCAAGATTAAAGCCAAGTATAATGGCGCAGTGAATGGAAAACGAACCAAGTGCATAGCATCTACTATACCTGAATCTAAACGACCGAATTCTGTAGAATCACCAAGCCATTCTTCATCTAAGATTGCACAAAGTGACCCAACAGTCAATGTTCACCAGCGCTCTAGTCGGAGATCTGTAACAAATGGATCAACAGCTCCTGAAAAACCCACTACGCATTGTTCTTGTTATTCAAATATTAATGGAAAGATCTGTCTCAATCAGTCTTCTGTTATTGTGGACGATGTACAAGTAAATCAAGACCAAGCCATAAATCTTGAAGGTGATTATTCAATGAGTGTTAAATCATCACCAAGTACGTAGTTATTTTTTGTACCTTAGATATTTTCTCTACAATATTCTAGTGTTAGATAATGCATCATCTTGAACGTTAATGTCTTGACTATCACACTAGTCCATATCTCATAAAATATATGCAAAAAGTAAGTTTCAAACGTTGCCATTATTTGAAACTAGGAAGAGTTCGTAGTTGAAAAGCTGTCCGTTTGTAATCCGTACCTTGATTTGTGCTTAAAAAGTTGGTTGAATGGTCCTTTCTTCCTAAAGGCAAATAATTTCATCCGGTCGTTCACATCAAGTAAACATTTTGAAGGACCTTTCTGTGTGTTTGAGAATTCTTGTGGTATTTGTCGTTAACACTTGATAAAGTTAAACGGAATTATAGAGTAGTTGTGGTAGCTAACTTCTATTAACCAGGCAGATTTCACTGTCTATGTTGAACAAAATCTGTAGTCAGAAATAAACATCCATTGCTTAAATTAGTAAGTTTCAATTTAAGACTTGGTACGTACGTACATCTGTTCAATCTGTCATACCTTATTAACAGAAAGAGAAAAAGTTGTTAGATCGAATCCCAGAGTAGTAGTGGCAGTAGTTGTATTAACGGTAATGCCAAGGGTTGGGGATCGAAGATACAACTCAGAAAAGACAAACCAGTGAAATAAATGTAAGAAAGAAACAAACGTGATGAGGAACGCAGAAGATCGAAATTTCTTGAAACGCTCAAACTGGATGCACCTGTTCCGTTGCAAATGATTTTGAACCATGTCATTGCCAATCTCTAGTCACTAAGTGCGGAAATTACACGGACCGCAACCAGGCAGTCTAAACTTTCTAACGTGGCTCGGTCCAGTTGTCAGTGACTTCATGAACTGATGCCATGTTTTGATTTGGGCACCTAGCTTTCTTCCAGCCTACTCCAACAACAGACAACATAGTTCGTCGAGGTAGTCGGCAGTTGGGCATATGTAATACATGTCCCAACCACCTTGGTTGATGGAGATCGACTGCCTCATCAGTTAATTTGCCATCCTTACGTACTATTGTATTCCTAACCCGAAAATTGTTTACTCGTAGTCCCCAGAATAACTATCAATGTTCTGAAGACACCTATGATCGAATACTGGTAACCTGTGGATATTATTATCCCTCAATGGTCATCCCCAACTGGCTCTTAATTATATTTGATTGATTTGATTACTTTATAAACACTTAAGTTAATCAGTAGTATTAAAAAATAAATATTTCTGGTCCATCTTCTAATGTTAAGTTGATGAAATTTCGGTCTATAATTTTTAGTATTCACCAAGAAATACTAACAGACTAACAAATGAATGGAAAAGAAATTAACGGGTAACTTAAGGGTAAAGATGATCAGTTAGCTGCAGAAAAATACCTGAGGAAAAACCAAAGGAACAGGTTAATAGTAATAATAATTTGTATACCATGAAAAAATTTTAAGTATATAAAAAAAGAATTAGTCTGCATTACTGTCCTTTCACGGCGATTGAAAAATAGCAAATTATATCACTTATCTAGCGACTCCAGTTAGAAAAAATACAATTTCTGTTTTGAAACCACGTCAAAAACCTTTCATTTTAGATTTTCGTTCATCTTAAGTCTGTTTAAACTGAAATAAACCATTAAAGTTTTCATTAAATCCCAATCACCTTAATTAATTAGGTTCCAAAACCTCTTAAACAAATATGGCAACTTAGTTATGTGGTTCACATTTTAAGTCTAACAGAGATTTTCACACAATATTGTTGATGAAAACAAACATCCAGCATGTAACTACTTATTAGTAACATGGTCAGTTTATTTAAAGTTTTCTGCCGTTGTAAATATGTTAATGAAACCTGATTATTTGATATTCATTCGTAACTACACAACCACTGTTTCCAACATTTCCAAGTTAACTCTTTACTTATTTATTAAATTGTAACTTTCATTTATCTCGTATGCTTGAAAGCTGCGCCTCTAGTTGTTACAGCCGAGTACACACATGTGATAACCAAGTTAATGAATTCTACTATTTACTGTGTTTGTTAAACTCTCTGTTCTATATTGACACTGAAGTTGTTGATTTTTTTTAAAACATATACAGATATTCTTCAACAGGGCACCAAAATATTTATTGTACCTCCAGCCAGTCCATTAAATGATACAACTTTTGAAAGTCAAATGAATAATTTACCGTATCATCGATCTGAACAAGTTAGTTAACTTACATAAACTATTATGAACGGAATTTTATTCGACATTAATGTTTGATAGTTTTTTTAAAAGAATGATCTCAAAAGTGCAACTTAGGTTTAATCTGTCACAGTTCGTTTTTACCAATTTTTAATATTTACTATAAAAGGCTAGTTTGTTTAGGGATGCAAAATAACACTGGTTAAATAATGAAATTATTTTTTATTCAAATATCATCTCACACAACAAACCAACCTTGTTTTTAAAATATTTGGTTGTATTGAATTGTAAATATCTGTCACAATAAAAGGAAGACATCTAATTTGGATGTATATATCAAAAAATTCTAAATCTTATACCAATGAGTCATGTGTACAATATCTGTAACATATGAAACTAGAAGAGTATCAGAGTAAATATTGTGATGATTCGGACAGTGTCGTTTCACACTCACACATACCAGACTTAATTCATGTGTTAGGAATGTACTGAATAAAACAAAGCAGACCAAAGTATTTTGTTTTTCATGTTGGAGTCAATAAAGAATTGCAACTGCACACATGGACAATTGAAAATCTTTTAATTACTTACTCTGAAACCTATTTAGAAGAGTGAACACAATTCTCTCTTCGTTCTCATGATGTATGTGATTTGCATTTGTGAATTTATAGACGAACTTCTATAGATATTTCTGGTCGCTCGTGTTTCATGATAACGTGAAATAAAATAGAATAACACTGTATTCTTCATATTTTACCATTTGTTCTTTGATATGGATCTGAGTGGTTTTTATAACAGACAAAATGTAGCTGATATACTAAGTCAGTCCTAAGTTAAATCAATGTTTAGTCGCTGTAGATTATTTCATGTTGATTGCTAACCATGTTTGCTTGATGTTGGTCGTTCGTATCTAAAATGGTACTAAAAGTGATAAAATTGCCGCTGTTACATTTTTATCCTTTTTGATCCCAAAACATCTGAAAAAACTGGTCTTAGGCAACACATTTACCGTGCAATTCAGATTAAACTATCATTTCTATACACAAATAAGTGACACTGCAATGATAGGTCCTCTTCTAGCCAACGCGGAAAACAGTGTTCTTCGAACAATAATCGGCAAGCTTAATTCTTATGAGAGGTATGCGAACTATAACGTCACCGTATGTAACGAAAATATTAGTTTTATTAGTATATTATTCGGGCTTACTTATCCTCACCATTCAGTTACGTCCATAATGAAATCGTTGACCTGAAAATTTTAATTTCTTGATATTTTTATAAAACGAAACCAGATAGCTGTCCGAAGATTGATTTGCAAAATGCTATCGTGAAATGATCAGTATACCAACTTACAGAGTTGGTTGTCGTTGAGTAGGAAAAGAAACTTGATCCGATCTTTATCTTTGGGAACTGGACAAAAACGTACAGACGCGCAATTAAATCTGAAATGGATAAGATTCATCGGACATTTGTAGTTCGATTGTTCCCCTCAGGTTTACTGATAATAATCAGAAACCAAAACATCGTCTGGAAATACATCCACAGTTTGTAAGAAAATTGGGTTATATAGTTAATTCAAAGAGGATATCAGAGAAATATTGCAGGACAGACTTTCATGATCGCTATGAAATACTTAATCGGTAGAGCCCAGAATTATTTTCTTCAATAAATGTCTCTTTCATAGACATGTCAAAGGTAGATTGCTACTTTGAATCACTTCACTTGCTATTGTGGAGCTGTCAGTTTTGACTATTGGGTATGTACTTAGCAAACGCATATTCGAGCACTACTCTCCATGTCTATCTAAAGGTGAATGGAAGTCAGTCGTCAGCTCAATCCTTGAACGCATCACCAACTAAAGTCTTGTTCATCCATAGGAATTATCGTTCAAGATGATTATCTGGAAAGTCAAGAGAACTAGCTCAAGGAACTTTCAAAAACAAAGTTTTGCATGAGTGAAGCTATGACAAGTTTTTAATTTAAACCTAATTTCGGTGCATAAAACAAACTTCATCCCATATTTTACCACGGTCCGAAAACCCCTTTTAATTTTACTTACCTCTAGTGCTAGTTATTCCCTTATTCGCGAAGTAAATAAATATTTTTTTTTCATTGAAGAAAAGATTATCATTATGTAATTCATATTCAGCACTTCAAAATCTGTATTGGCAATTTGATTACTTTATCAAATGCGACTACGCTTCCAATGGTTATAGACCATCATATTCAGTGGTTAGAAACTTATTATTATTAGCTACCATTTGTAAAAGTAATTGTATAATGCAGCTTAAGTAAGTGACACAGTCAAAACCAAAATTTCCCCACAGAACTGTCTTCATTTTGTCCAGTTGTTTTAGACCGATAGTCATTATAATACTGTTAATAGTTGTGTATTAGGTTTCCTAAGGGGCATATATTATGTATTGACAAGTAAGAAGAGAGAATTCTAGTTAAATAATTCTCTATGTATACAATGTTTAATCATTACAATTAAGCATAGCGGACAATCAGTTTAGCACTTGTTCCAGATATCGACCAGCAGTAACACTCGGTAGCTCCCAAGCAGCAGGTCCACTTCGCATCGAAAACTATTCTAATGACCGTCACAGTAGGCTAACATTCATGATCATTTCTCACTTGGATATGGTTTTAAATGATTGATCGATCACCATTCTTTATGTCATTTCAGCACTCAAGTTATACAAAGCAATCTTAATAATAGAAAATGCGTAAATAATACATTGGATCAGATGCTTGTATACTCTGAAGAACATAGTTTCATCTGATTAATTAAGTTATATTAGCTAAAAAATATTCTGAGTTATATTGTTCTCTCAACTTTCAACGAAAGAAAGTTTATCTTGCTTCCATTTCATCGACTCTAGTTATTTTATATTCAGCCTAGTCAAAGTTCGTGTAATACGGTAAATTCTACATCTGGATTCAATTTCGATAATTCAAGCATTCCACAAGCAAATTCAAGACGTAGTAATCGACAAGTAGACGTTTATAAATTTAAATCGATTTGGGTAAAGAAAAATGTACAAGGTGGATTTACAGAAGTTTGGCTGCAATCACCTGGTTCTTCCATAAAAAATGGATTTACTATTCAGGTAATTCATTACCTTATGTTTGTTTAAAACAGATATTGTTAATTCTCTGTCATTTTTAAAAAAGATGGGGCAGTATTCTACTCTTCACCCAAGAGTTTCGAACTATGAGCGAAACACTTACTCAATTGGTCTTTCTCTGTCGTCCAGTTTTCAACTGTTTCCAAGCAAAATAAATTCTCTAAATGGTAATAAATTTCAAAATCTGTGACTTTTCTAAAGTGATTGAGAAAGGTCCACACGTATTAGTCTTTCAAATCTTTAGGGTGATGGTCTAGTCCTAGCTGTTGAATTGACTGATATCTTAGTTAAAGTTTGAGAACTATACGTAATACCTTCTCACTGGCCTCGATCGTTGCTCGTTTTGGTTTGCAAGAAATCTTGTGATAACCACAAAGTAATCAGTCTGACTAACATAGTCTCTAAAACGAGTCTCTAAAACGTTAGTCTCAATAATCATAAAAAGCTTAATTAAGGTTCGTGAAGAGCATATTCGGGAAACCAGTTTGGTTTCAAACCTAGGCGTTCATGTATAGACCAAATATTCGCGCTTCTTCAGATTGTGAAGCACCACCATATCTACCAACTTTCAACCATAATCGTATTCCTTGACATTGAGGAATTGTTCGAATCCGTTCACCGAATGGTTTCACGGAGGCTTATATCGATGAAAGGTTTATCCAAACAACACACCGTGTACTAACTCTATGCTCGAGTTGGAGCTTATAGATAACTGTCATTAGTAGCGATAACAATAAAGGTATTTCCGATTTCTTTATGGAAACTTCTTTGGTGATATTGCTCTCATGGTCTGACTTTCTAGGAAATGATCTTATACTTGAAGTATCACTTGTTGACTTAAAATACTCAGTTAACATAAAGGAAACTGAGAAGCTTCTGTCCTCTGATCACACCAAGCAACAATGTAAACGTGTTTCGGTTGTAATTTTCACCCTTCCTAATTCATATTATTACTTCAGTACTGGTCTGTATCAACACAAAAGCTAATGATGGATAGTTACTTAGTCTAGTCGAGTGCTTCCACCACTTTGCATATCCTGGAAGTCTGACCAGCTGTTATTGTCGTTAAACGTAGAGAATCTCTTCAGAGCATTGCTCGTGTTTATTGAGACCATTGATAGGTCTAGACAGCCACGTCCAGGTCTGAAACCAACCTGATTTTCTCGAGTCTGCTCTTCACAAGCTCTAGTTAAGCGTCTAAGTATTATCGAAGCTAACAATTTGGACGCTATGTTAGTCAAACTAATCCCTCTGTCATTGTCACAAGAGGACTTTTGTCCTTTCTTATAGATTGGGACAAGCAGTAAGTGAGATCAGTCGGATGGGAATGCGTCCAGTCCCCAGATTGTAGCTAAGATATGAGTCTATCTAACTGCTAAAACTGGACCACCATCCTTGGAAATCTCAAGGGTGTGCCTATCGAGCCCTGCTGCTCACCCTCGTTTCAGATTTCCAGTAGCCTCTTCAACTTCATTAGGAGTCGGAGGGCTTGCATCAATTCGCCATTCAGGTTGACTGGAGGTCGCGGGCAACTAAAGTGTTGCTGAAAGCCAGCTGAATTGATCCCTGAAGTGTTCTACCCATCAGTACAATCTCCTGGATTAAGAAGGAATAATACGACCATCTTTTTCCGAGATAGTTTAATTTACGTTCGGATTCCTAATACCAGTTTCTTTGATAAGTCTGAACAGTTGTTTACCGTTACCTGTTGCAACTGCCATTTCCTTCGCTTTCGCTACCCACCACTGTTCGCGATCATTGCGTAGACTTTTGGTCAGTCTGTGCCTAAGCTGACGCCGCTCCTCATCGTACTCAGAGCCAGACGGGAGGAGTTTTTAATCATCTACCTGCTCGGTAGATGCTACTGAGACCCATAGCCTCCCTAACCTTGTGGTTGACCTTACTAGCAGATACCACTGCTGTTTTCACAGCTTTTTGGATATCAATCCATGCTGTCTCGGAGTGGGCATCACTTACTACATGGCTGCCTAACTGTTTTGCTGGTTTCTCCTGAAATATATTCTTATCTATGATATCAGTAAGCAGAACCCTAAGACGTTTCCTGGCTATGTCTTTCCTACGTCCAGTGAGACAGAAACAAATACGAGCTCGTGCTAGAGCATAATCTGAATCTAAACATGTCTTCCAGAATGAGCGGCAGTGTGATATTCCCCACTGATGACTGATAGCGATGTGGCCTAGTTGAGTCGGCTTTGGGGGTCGCTAACTCAAAAGATGTTTTTCCTTGTGCTTAAAATTAGTAATTGCTAGAAATAGGCGAGCATAGTTGCAGTGGACGGTCGCCATCCAGGTTTCTTTCCTTTTCACTGAGTCTAGCGCTATTCACTTTATATTGCTTTGTTTTGTAAAAATTCATCCACCGATTTCAGTTTTTTAGTTTTAAATTGAATGAAGAAGGAGAGTACACAACATTATCTTGTGTGTTGATGTTTAGTTCATTCACTCATAAATGTCACTTGACAGATTCTTTTACTTATCCCTAACTGTCCGTGTCGCATCTATTTACTACTTAATTTAACCCAGTAAATAAACTCTCGTTTTAAGATATTTGTGCTAAATATTAATGAGAGTAAACGACTATTTTTATGGAATAAAATGGTATTATCCATTTACTATGTAACAGTTACTTTTGCTATTGCTGCGCTCTGACTGGCCAAACATTTGATCACTAGCATTAAATATGGATTCTGAATCAACCTTTCCATTTAAACTGGACATCTTCAAAGTTCACGCACTCATGTATTTGAAAAGTCTTTGTATCGAAGTCTGTTGTATGTCTGAAATTTGTATTTATGACTGGTGGAGTGCTATAGATTGACTCAGTATCCGTTAACTCAGAAAACCTGTCTCTTAATCGCTTATTGGCAAACTATGGCATTCTTGCTTTTCATCTCAGAAAAAATCTTGTTTCCAAACTAAGAACCGGCGTTTCTATTTTCAGCCAAGCTGACGAAAATCTGAACATCGTATGTCAAATCAGCTTTACGAACGTCCGGTCAAAGTATGCTAGAATTTTAGGAAAACCTTATAACAGACACATCACATCAAAGCCTTCTCAAAAATCCCCAAAAGTAACTATGCTATTTGTCAGTAATTCGAAACAACTAAAACTAAAAGCACTACCAATCGCTTTTGAATTTCGTATTATAATGAAACACTAACGAAACGGATACAGAAAGGCTATTTTATCTGGACTAAAACCATTCTAGATGATGAAAAACAAAATTGGCTCAGATCTCAACTCATTGAAATAACAAGCCATCATGTAACATCACAAGCAAAAGTTCTATCTAAAGATCACGAGGTAACTTCGAATAAGAGTATTTGAAATAAGCTTTTCATATCGGATGACGAATAGAGAGTGAATTTATAGCACTCCACTAGTCGTAAATTCAAATTTCAGACATACAACAGACTTTTCAAATACATAACCAAACCTAAATGGTTTTCGATCTGCATAAGTGTGTGAACTTTGAAGATATCCAGTTTGAATGGAACGCGAAGTTTTAGAAAGGCTGATTTTAGAATCTGTATTTGATAGTAGCGTTCAAAATTTTGGTCTCAGTTTCAGTCCCACAAGTCCTTTTAGTAACAACAAGCGATAAAATCCCATGATAGTGACCAGGATAGGTTCTTATTGCCATTCTGTTCCCCAAAATCTTGGAATCCATGTCTACCGCTGTTTTTAAATTATGGTTTTCTAGCTCTTTGTGAATCTTCCATGTCTGCTAACCGGGTCTAAGCGCCAGTACGCTTTCCACCTTCTCTCTTCTTCAAGCAACACCCTCTCCGCAAAAAGGCAGTGATTTAGAATTCCTTGGTAGTGGTTATCAAGATATGTCTATATAAGATAATTTCAAGAGAGCAAGTAGACTCTCCTCACCGTCAGCCGTATTCAGGTAAAAACTGAAACCAAACAGTTTCAATTTAACAATACTGTGTATCGCTATTGGGAGCCTGTTAAGCCCAATCTAAACAGATATATATGACCAAACTAGAAGTGACAGACAGATACAACGCAGAACTTCGTACAGAAGTACATCAGTTCAGGTTGTCATGCCCCATCAGCACTGAGACGCGACTGTCAGTTCAAATCCAAGAGTGATAGCGATAGTAGAAGTATTAGCAGTAATGGAGAATATTAGGGATCGAAGATATTATTCAAGAAGTGTAGTTCAATGAGATAACTTTAGAAAGAGAAAGACAGAGATGATGAGGAATTCTGGAGATTAGAATTTAATAAGACACAAATAGTGTATGCATCTGCGCCATTGCAAACGATTTTGAGCCATGTCATTGAAGGTATCAAACCATCGGAGACTTCTGTCTCACGGACCCCAACCAGGTAGTCTGCATCTACCGACATGTCTCAGTCCAGTTGTCAGTGACTTCATGGATTTGTGCCATGTTTCGGTTTGGCCGACCCTAGCTTCCTTCCAACCTACTCCTACACCACAAAACATAGCTCGTCGCGGCAGTCGGTGGTTAAGCATACGTAATAATGTCCCAACCACCTCAGCTGATGAAGTTTCACCACTTTTATTGATCTGCCATCCCTACCTGGTACTCGTTTCATAACAACAGCATTGCTTATACGGTTGTCCCATGATACACGAGCAATGCTTCGGAGAAATCGATGATCGAAGACTAGTAACGTACGAAAACCCCCTACTCTTAACGGCCATGTTTCTCATCCGTACATTAGGACGGAGCGAACTGCTGAACAGTACACTCGTCCTCTGGTTAGCAATCGGATATCTCGCCTGCGCCATTGATGACGCAGGTTGGCAACTGCCGATCGAGCCTTCTGTAGCCGTGCTGAGATTTCGTCAGTCACCAGGCCATCAGCACTGATGAGACTCCCCAGATACGTGAAGCGGTTGACACTCTCAACTACTTCACTTCCTATCACTATTTCAGGTGCCGAAGCAACCCAATCTTGAAGCAACATTTTTCATTTC